AGTCTTTGAGCATGTCGGTCTCTGCCAAAGTGCACGGCAGCGCCGACGTGTGGAGCTGTAACTACGGTCAGGGACAGTACATGTCATTTACGGCCCACTGGGTGAACGTGGTGCCGGCACAGCCGCACCAGCAACTTGGACAGGTCACGACGCTTTTGCCTCCACGTTTGCACGTCCTTGGTCCAGCAAACATGTCCGCCTCTGTCCTCAGCCGCCACCCCCGTGCCAAGTCCCATTACCCGACCGGCATATCACATGTGCAGGGCGCAACGGTGTCACGCTGTGCTGCACCTGGTATGCCTTGGCGAACGTAGTCACACAGGGGAGAACTTCTGAGTGTAATGAACAGAGAAATCGACAGATGGCTGTCTCCGCGCAAACTGAAAATCGGAACCATGTTGACCGACAACGGAAAGAACATGGTGTCTGCTCTGCGTCAAGGAAGGTTGTACAATGCGCCATGCATGGCTCACGTGTTCAATCTGGTTGTCAAGCGGTTCCTAAAATCCACCATCCCACTGCAAGACATCCTTAAAATGTCACGTAAACTGTGCATGCATTTCAGCCATTCCTACACCGCAAAGAACACCCTCATTGAGCTGCAGTGGCAGAACGGAATTCCACAGCATCGCCTGATCTGCGACGTTGCAACAAGGTGGAATTCAACCCTACACATGTTAGACCCGCCTTTACAAGCAGCGAAAGGCCATCACCGATTTCCTGATGTTACAAGCGGATAAAGGTACTCCCCTGTGTAACTTCGATGTCAGCCATTGGCAGCTCATGCGTGACACCTGCCGCTTGCTCAGGCCCTTTGAGGAGGCCCACGCTATTCGTGAGTCGGCAGGGACTATGGGATGAACGACGTCATTCCTCTGTTGCACGTCCTGGAACAAATGCTGTTAACATGGCTGGTCAGGGTGCGGTAGACGTGGCGCACAGATCTCAACGCCACATGACCCCTGTGGGGCCAGGACAGGAAGAAGAGGAGGAGGTAGAGGAGGACATTTGTGCTCAGGAATTATTGAGTGAAATGGGTGGTTTTTCCACTCAGCGGACAGGAGTGGAGGAGCAGGAGCATCTGGTAGAGGAGGAGGAGGAGGAGACAGAGGACCCAGACGCACCGTGGCAGTATGCTGTGGAGATGGAGGCAGGGAGTCCCTCGCATTCCTTGGCGCAAATGGCCCATAGCATGCTCGGTTGCTTGCTTGCGTAGCGACAGCCGAATAATAACCATCAGACAGAGGGATGACTTTTGGCTGTCCACCTTGTTGGACCCTCGCTATCGTTCCAAAATGGTGGCCTTTTTCACACCTGCTGAGAGGGAGGCCAAAATTACGTACTATAAAAACCACCTATGTAGTCAGTTGGTCTCTGCCTTTGTGCGCCAACGTCCATCCTCAGACACTGTGGGCCCTGTGCGCTCGCGTTCCGCTGCCATGGCAGCAGGGGAGGGGTGGGGTGGTAGGAGCAGTGGCAGCTCCACCAGCAGCGGCTGCCTCAGTCTGCAGTCGATGATGAGTAGCTTTCTTCACCAGCGCAGTGAGGAAACTACTAACCAGCCGCAGCAGCAGCATCATCAGGTGGACCTGGAGCAGGAGCTCAAACAACAGGCTTGGGCCTACTTGGACAGCACCCTGCCAACCGAGGTAGACAATCCCCTTGACTACTGGGCAACGAAACTTGACCTTTGGCCCCAACTAGCTGAATTTGCCCTTGAAAGGCTGTCATGCCCGGCCAGTAGCGTGGCATCGTGGCAGCGCGTGTTTAGTGCGGCAGGAGGTATTGTAACTCCGCGGAGGACACGACTGTCCACCCAAAGTGTGGAGAGACTCAAGTTTGTGAAAATGAATCAGGCGTGGATTAGTCTGGATTTCAAACCACCAGTTCCTGACACAACTGACTAAATCCGCCATGAATCATGCATGCCCCTGCCATGTGCCACTTTCAGGTCTCCTCACACACTGCTGGTGTGTTCCATTTTTTGTCATAGGGTGCTGGCAGATTACGGGCCTCCCATTGCTGCTGTCTCCATCGCCACACTCTGCCATGTGCCACATTCAGGTCTCTTCACACTGCTGTTGTGTGTTGAATTTTTTGACATAGGGTGCTGGCAGATTACGGGCCTCCCATAGCTGCTGCCAGGCCCCTAATCTGCCATGGGCCCCTATATACCACCGCCTCCTCATGCTGCTGCCAAGTGCAGAGTCTCTCATGGGTCCCTGTACGGCCTCCCATTGCTGCTGCCAGGAGGCAGCAGGGTCGCAGCAGTGTCAGTGGAGGCAAACGGCCACGGAGTAGAGCACCAGTTCCACTGCAGCCTACCACCACGGCCAGTAGTGGTGCCGGTGTGCACGGAGGAAGTAGCAGTCAGCCAGTGAGGAGTAGCGGGGGCAAAGTTTCCTACTCGGCGGTGTGGCAATTTTTCGTCAAGCCGCCCGAGGAAGTAAACGTAGCCGTATGTCGACTATGTGGCCAGAAAGTCAAGCGTGGCCAGGGGGCCCATGTTGGGACTACAGCGTTGCGTCAGCATATGCAGCGTCGCCATTTGGTGGCCTGGGAAAACCGTGATAAAGATACGGCGGTTCTGCCTGCCCCAGCCCAGGGTTCCATTTTGTCATAGGGTGCTGGCAGATTACGGGCCTCCCATAGGTGCCGCCAGGCCCCAAATCGGCCATGGGCCCCCGTACCGCCTGGTCACGCTGCTGCTGGTCCCACAGTGTGACCTGGGTCCCTGTACGGCCTCCCATTGCTTCCACTCTCTGCCATGTTCACTTTGAGGTCTCCTCACACTCCTGTGCTTTTCCATTTTGACATAGGTTGCTGGCAGATTACAGGCCTTCCATAGGTGCCGCCAGGCCCCAAATCAGCCATGGGCCCCCGTACCGCCTGGTCACGCTGCTGCTGGGCCCACAGTGTGACCTGGGTCCCTGTACGGCCTCCCATTGCTTCCACTCTGCCATGTGCCACTTTGAGGTCTCCTCACACTCCTGTGCTTTTTTTCCATTTTGACATAGGTTTGCTGGCAGATTACAGGCCTCCCATAGGTGCCGCCAGGCCCCAAATCGGCCATGGGCCCCCGTACCGCCTGGTCACGCTGCTGCTGGGCCCACAGTGTGACTTGGGTCCCTGTACGGCCTCCCATTGCTTCCACTCTGCCATGTGCCACTTTGAGGTCTCCTCACACTCCTGTGCTTTTCCATTTTGACATAGGTTGCTGGCAGATTACAGGCCTACCATAGGTGCCGCCAGGCCCCAAATCGGCCATGGTCCCCCGTACCGCCTGGTCACGCGCTGCTGCTGAGCCCACAGTGTGACCTGGGTCCCTGTACCGCCTCCCATTGCTTCCACTCTGCCATGTGCCACTTTGAGGTCTCCTCACACTCCTGTGCTTTTCCATTTTGACATAGGTTGCTGGCAGATTACAGGCCTCCCATAGGTGCCGCCAGGCCCCAAATCGGCCATGGGCCCCCGTACCGCCTGGTCACGCTGCTGCTGGTGGTCCCACAGTGTGACCTGGGTCCCTGTACGGCCTCCCATTGCTTCCACTCTGCCATGTGTCACTTTGAGGTCTCCTCACACTCCTGTGCTTTTCCATTTTGACATAGGTTGCTGGCAGATTACAGGCTTACCATAGGTGCCGCCAGGCCCCAAATCGGCCATGGTCCCCCGTACCCGCCTGGTCACGCTGCTGCTGCTAGCCCACAGTGTGACCTGGGTCCCTGTACCGCCTCCCATTGCTTCCACTCTGCCATGTGCCACTTTGAGGTCTCCTCACACTCCTGTGCTTTTCCATTTTGACATAGGTTGCTGGCAGATTACAGGCTTTCCATAGGCCGCCAGGCCCCAAATCGGCCATGGGCCCCCGTACCCGCCTGGTCACACTGCTGCTGGGCCCACAGTGTGACCTGGGTCCCTGTACGGCCTCCCATTGCTTCCACTCTGCCATGTGCCACTTTGAGGTCTCCTCACACTCCTGTGGTTTTCCATTTTGACATAGGTTGCTGGCAGATTACAGGCCTCCCATAGGTGCCGCCGCCAGGCCCCAAATCGGCCATGGGCCCCCGTACCGCCTGGTCACGCTGCTGCTGAGCCCACAGTGTGACCTGGGTCCCTGTACCGCCTCCCATTGCTTCCACTCTGCCATGTGCCACTTTGAGGTCTCCTCACACTCCTGTGCTTTTCCATTTTGACATAGGTTGCTGGCAGATTACAGGCCTTCCATAGGTGCCGCCAGGCCCCAAATCGGCCATGGGCACCCGTACCGCCTAGTCACGCTGCTGCTGGGCCCACAGTGTGACCTGGGTCCCTGTACGGCCTCCCATTGCTTCCACTCTGCCATGTGTCACTTTCAGGTCTCCTCACACACTGCTGTTGTGTTGAATTTTTTGACATAGGGTGCTGGCAGATTACGGGCCTCCCATAGCTGCTGCCAGGCCCCTAATCTGCCATGGGCCCCTATATACCGCCTCCTCATGCTGCTGCCAAGTCCAGAGTCTCTCATGGGTCCCTGTACAGCCTCCCATTGCTGCTGCCAGGAGGCAGCAGGGTCGCAGCAGTGTCAGTGGAGGCAAACGGCCACGGAGTAGAGCACCAGCTCCACTGCAGCCTACCACCCACGGCCAGTAGTGGTGCCGGTGTGCACGGAGGAAGTAGCAGTCAGCCAGTGAGGAGTAGCGGGGGCAAAGTTTCCTACTCGGCGGTGTGGCAATTTTTCGTCAAGCCGCACGAGGAAGTAAACGTACCCGTATGTCGACTATGTGGCCAGAAAGTCAAGCGTGGCCAGGGGGCCCATGTTGGGACTACAGCGTTGCGTCAGCATATGCAGCGTCGCCATTTCGGTGGCCTGGGAAAACCGTGATAAAGATACGGCGGTTCTGCCTGCCCCATCCCAGGGTTCCATTTTGTCATAGGGTGCTGGCAGATTACAGGCCTTCCATAGGTGCCCGCCAGGCCCCAAATCGGCCATGGGCCCCCGTACCGCCTGGTCACGCTGCTGCTGCTGGTCCCACAGTGTGACCTGGGTCCCTGTACGGCCTCCCATTGCTTCCACTCTGCCATGTGCCACTTTGAGGTCTCCTCACACTCCTGTGCTTTTCCATTTTGACATAGGTTGCTGGCAGATTACAGGCCTCCCATAGGTGCCGCCAGGCCCCAAATCGGCCATGGGCCCCCGTACCGTACTGCCTGGTCACACTGCTGCTGAGCCCACAGTGTGACCTGGGTCCCTGTACGGCCTCCCATTGCTTCCACTCTGCCATGTGTCACTTTGAGGTCTCCTCACACTCCTGTGCTTTTCCATTTTGACATAGGTTGCTGGCAGATTACAGGCCTCCCATAGGTGCCGCCAGGCCCCAAATCGGCCATGGGCCCCCGTACTGCCTGGTCACGCTCCTGCTGAGCCCACAGTGTGACCTGGGTCCCTGTACGGCCTCCCATTGCTCCCACTCTGCCATGTGCCACTTTGAGGTCTCCTCACACTCCTGCGGTTTTCCATTTTGACATAGGTTGCTGGCAGATTACAGGCCTCCCATAGGTGCCGCCAGGCCCCAAATCGGCCATGGGCCCCCGTACCGCCTGGTCACGCTGCTGCTGAGCCCACAGTGTGTCCTGGGTCCCTGTACCGCCTCCCATTACTTCCACTCTGCCATGTGCCACTTTGAGGTCTCCTCACACTCCTGCGGTTTTCCATTTTGACATAGGTTGCTGGCAGATTACAGGCCTCCCATAGGTGCCGCCAGGCCCCAAATCGGCCATGGGCCCCCGTACCGCCTGGTCACGCTGCTGCTGAGCCCACAGTGTGACCTGGGTCCCTGTACCGCCTCCCATTGCTCCCACTCTGCCATGTGCCACTTTCAGGTCTCCTCACACTCCTGCTGGTTTCCATTTTGTCGTAGGTTGCTGTATGGCCTCCCATTGCTGCTGCCTCCACCGCCACACTGTGGCTCCAAACACTGGTTTTGGCCCCGTGACTGGCCAAATGAGTGAAATGTGCGGTGATTCTAAGATCGACGGCACTCATCTGCATGTCATACTGACTGACAGTATTATTTCTCTTCCCTAGCAGACTCCAAGGGCATTTAAATTAAAGGTACAGTGTTCTGCACTAATATTAAGTCTCTCTCTGAAGCCTAGAAACACCCTTTTTTAAGTTAAATTCACAGCGAATATATTCGACTCGAATCGAATATTGTCCACGAATTCGCCGAATCAGTCGAATCGAATTTTTCAATTCTTCGCTCATCTCTAATTAACACATTGTAAATTAACGCACTGTACACTAACGCACCGTACACTAACACATTGTACACTAACTAATTGTACATTAACACACTGTACACTAATGCACTGTACACTAACACATTGTACACTAACGCACCACACACTAACACACTGTACCTAATGCACCATACACTAACGCACCGTGCATTAACACACACTGTACACTAACGCAGTGTAAACTAACGCGCTGAACACTAATGCACTGTACACTAACACATTGTACACTAACGCACTGTACACTAGCGCACTGTACACTAACGCACTGTACTCTCTAATGAACTGTACACTAATGCACCGTAAACTAACGCACTGTTCCTTACGCACCATACACTAACACACCGTGCATTAACACACTGTACACTAACGCAGTGTACACTAACACACTGTACACTAACTCACTGTACACTAACACATTATACACTAACGCATGGTAATCTACTGCACTTTACACTAACGCACTTTACACTAACGCACTGTACACTAATCCACTGTACACTAACGCACTGTAATTTAATGCACTGTTCTTTAGTGCACTATACACTAACGCACTGTACAGGGTGCACAATTTCAGGTGCAATTTGGGAATTTAAATTGTACCTGATATTGGATCTAATGAATGTAGATGTGAGTGTCACTAACGCACCGTGCATTAACACACTGTACACTAACGCACTGTACACTAACACAATGTCCACTAACACACTGTACACTAACGCATGGTAATCTAACACACTGCACACTAACGCACTGTACACTAACGCACTGTAATCTAACGCACTGTACACTAACACAATGTCCACTAACACACTGTACACTAACGCACGGTACACTAACGTACTGTACACAAACGCACTGTACAGGGTGCACAATTTCAGGTGCAATTCGGGAATTGAAATTGTACCTGATATCGGATCTAATGAATGTAGATGTGAGTGTCTTAACCACTTGCCTACCAGGCACTTATACCCCCTTATTTACCAGGCCAATTTTCAGCTTACAGCGCTGCCGCACTTTGATTGACAATTGCGTGGTCATGCAACATTGTACCCATATGAAATTTTGATCATTTTTTTCTCACAAATAGAGCTTTCTTTCGGTGGTATTTAATCGCCACTGCGCATTTTATTTTTTGCGCTATAAATAAAAAAAGTGCAAAAAATTTGAAAAAAAAAAAAAGTTTCTTTGTTTCTCTATTATAAAATTTTTCAAACAGGTAATTTTTCTCCTTCACTGATGTGCGTTGATGAGGCAGCACTGATGGGCACTGATAGGCGGCACTGATGGGCACTGATAGGCAGCACTAAAGGGCACTGATAGGCAGTACCAATGAGGTGGCACAGATAGGCGGCACTGATAGACAGCACTAATGAGGTGTCACGGATAGGCGGCACTAATATGCAGCACTGATAGGCGGCACTGATAGGTGACACTGATGATGGGTACTGATAGACGGCACTGACTGGCATCACTGCTGGGCACTGACTGGCACTACCGCTGGACACTGACTGGTGGCACTGACTGGCAGCACTGCTGGGCTGCCTGGTGGGTGGCACTGGTGGGCAGCACTGGTGGGTGGGCACAGGTGGGTGGGCACAGGTGGGTGGCACTGCTGGGCACAGGTAGGTGGCACTTCTGGGCACAGGTGGGTGACACTGCAGAGTGGCACAGGTGGGTGCACTGCTGGGCACAGGTGGGTGATCTGCTGGGCACAGGTGGGCGGAGCTAGTGGGCGCACTGCTGGGCACAGGTGGGCGGAACTTGCGGGTGCCACTGCTGGGCACCGATCATCAGGGCACTGATCATCAGTGCCCTGATGATCGGTGCCGATCTCCGCTCTGACAACTGCCGGTTCTCGGCAGTACTTTCCTCACGATCTGACAGCGTGAGGAAAAGTGCAGCCGAGAACCGGCACTTGCATTTCCCTCTGATAAGCGTGTCATTGGACACCGCTGATCACGTGGTAAAAGGCCGCTGTGATTGGCCTTTTACCACATCACGTGATCAGCTGTGTCCGTAGGACACAGCGATCACGGAGATCGCCGGGTGCGCGCCCCCTGGGGTGCGCAGGAGAGCGCGTTCTGGGCGGACGTCATATGACGTCCACCCAGAACTGGCCGGCCTCAGTGCAGCCGTCATTCGGCTATCTGCAGTCGGCAACAAGTTAATGTAAGTGATTTTCTGCAGCACAATTCCAAAAGTAGTTCTTGTCTAACGTTTTCTGCATTTTGTAGCGATTTTACATATAGACTACAATAGAAATTGCAATGCAAAACACAATTGAAAACGCAAAAACTCATTGGTAAATCTACAGAAAACACGGTGAGATTGCCAACCAAAAGCACAATTTTAAATCACATTGAGTGTGAACCAAGCAGGCAATTCAACAAAGGAAATAAATCTTTGAAGGCATGCGGTATCTGCATGCTCAGATAAGGGTCTGGTGCGGATTGGGGGGGGAACTCCATGCCATTATTTTATACGTTTTATTTAAATCCTTTTCTCTCTCTCAGCTCTTGGCTTGACAAACCTTCCTAAAAGGGGGTGGAGTGCAAGCCAGCATTATCCAATCAATCATTAGTCCAGGCCCTCATGCCATCGTTTGACATTCACATAAGGTGCAGCTTTGAAGGTGTTTCAACAGACAAGGCCTCATTCTAATTCACCTTCTAGGGATCCTTTAGAGAGAAAGCAAAGAGAGCTGCCACCAGCACATCTATGTTAGGGTAGTCACATGGAGATCATGCAAATTCATTGCCATGGTTGGGATTCAAACCAACAACCATAGCATTGTGAGGCAGTAGTGCTAACCACTAACCCACGGAGCTGTTGAACACTAATCCTGCCTGTATTTCCGTGGTGTGAATCAACCCTAAGTCCCTGGGCAAGGTCAGTGTAACTAGCCAGATATCTCCAATGTGACACAAATGTTGTGCTATGTTTTCAATTCAGATGTACAGGTGAAACTCGAAAAATTAGAATATCGTGCAAAAGTTCATTTATTTCAGTAATGCAACTTAAAAAGGTGAAACTAATATATGAGAGAGACTTATTACATGCAAATCAAGATAGTTCAAGCCGTGATTTGTCATAATTGTGATGATTATGGCTTACAGCTCATGAAAACCCTAAATACGGGGGCGCATGCACGGCCTGCTCCGGGATGACAGCTCTGTGAAGAGAGCTCCATATCCCTGCCAGCCTTAACCCGGCATTTGCCGCACCCAGTGACACCACAGACCTCTCCCTGCACTGATAAGGGGACACAGGTCTCCTCTGGATCACCAGGGATAATGCCCAGATGCCGCAGATCACAGGGAAGCAGGGAAAGCTGACGAGCTTCTTCCCAGCTCTCAGCCCCTGCAGTCAAGATGGCGCCGGCTCCTAACAGCGTGAGATGACACAGCAGGAACACAGCACGGAGCACACCACATATCCCAGGCTCAAATCATCCAATGAAACGCGTTAGGGAGGTGCCCTACATCCTGTGACATCACACCGCACAGCCCTTGTGGATGGCCGGCGGCCATTTTGGAATTCCCTATCACCAGCTGCTTATTACTGCATGTGAGTACCAAATTTAAGTACTCTGTATATTTTACCCCTGTGGATAATAAAGTACTACACTATCAGATCTTTCTGTTGTTCTGGCTTGTTACTTCCGAGCCCCCCCCCCCCCCCCCTTCAAGGCTTGTTTGGGATGATCTGGTGGCCACATCAGGAATGGTTAAACTCCCCCTGTTGGTGAGACAATTGCATATCCCCTGATATCTGGAGACCCTGAGGTTGTGATATTTGCCCAGCTGACGCAGGCCAGACGACCCTCTTTGTGATCCAGTTTCAATAGGCGGATGACCAGGAGTTGGTTAACACTCAAATGCGCATTACCATTGCGCTTTCTGGTTATTGCAATCTACACTTATCTCTGTGAGAGGAATACGGTCACAGAAGTCACTAATTTTTTCACCACCTTGTCTTGAAATTTTGCACGATGCACCGCAAGAACACTCTTGTTGGAGATATTTATTTACCATTATCACCATTCCTGGATGTTTAGACATGTTTAGATCGATTCTATTATCAAGTTTTTACCATTTTTTAATTATATGCACCGTAAGACTATATGCATGTATTATTGAATTTTCAAATCTTGCCACAGTTTCTCCATTGGATTTAGGTCTGGACTTTGACTGGGCCATTCTAACACATGAATATGCTTTGATCTAAACCATTCCATCATGTTTCACAGTAGGGATGGTGTGTTCAGGGTGATGTGCAGTGTTAGATTTCCGCCACACATAGTGTTTTGCTTTTAGGCCAAAAAGTAAAATTTTGGTCTCATCTGACCAGAGCCCCTTCTTCCACATGTTTGCTGTGTCCTCCACATGGCTTCTTGCAAACAGCAAATGGGACTTCTGATGGCTTTCTTTCAACAATGGCTTTCTTCTTGCCACTCTTCCATAAAGGCCAGATTTGTGGAGTGCATGACTAATAGTTGTCCTGTGGACAGATTCTCCCACCTGAGCTGTGGATCTCTGCAGCTCCTCCACAGTTCCCTGTGACCTGTATGGTGTGTTCCTTGGCCTTCATGATGCGGTTTGTTTGCTAATGTTCTCTAACAAACCTCTGAGGGCTTGACAGAACAGTTGTATTTATACTGAGATTAAATCACAAACATGTGAACTCTATTTACTAATAATTCGCTGACTTCTGAAGGCATTTGGTTCCACTAGATTTCAGTTAGGGGTATCAGAGTAAAGGGGTCTGACTACCCATGCATGTCAAATTTTTCAGATATTTATTTGTAACTAATTTTGAAAAACATTTATCATGTTCCTTCCACTTCACAATTATGTGTCACTTTGTGTTGGTCTACATATAAAATGCATTTACATTTTTGGTTGTAGCATGACAAAATGTGGACTGGTTGTAGCATGACAAAAGGCAGAGCACATTGGGACTGGCCATAGAGGGATTACTTTGACGCAGTTGGCAGCTTAAGCATGTATTGCAATATGTGTGAACTAAATATCCCTATTTATTGCATAGTCTGCTTGAAAGAGTATATACCAGTGTGCAGAGGGCCCTTCAGAATTTCTAGTGTTAATATGTGGTTACACCCCTTTAGCACCTGATGGATAAATGCATGCACTAGCTTTTGGGATTTGAGCACAGGTATCTCTTGTTTGTTGTATTGTTGGGTCAGTAGCCAGACCTGAACCTTGTAGCTCTCCCCCATTGTGTCTTTTCCCCTATGCTAGCATTGTGTCCACAGTAGCATTTGCGTAGGCAGAGCAGAGTAGGACTGGCCATAGAGGGATTACTTTGAGGCAGTTGGCCAGCTTAAGCATGTATTGCAATATGTGTGAACTTAATATCCCTATTTATTGCATAGTCTGCTTGAAAGGGTATATACCAGTGTGCAGAGGGTCCTTCAGAAGTGCTAGTGTTAATATGAGGTTACACCCCTTTAGCACCTGATGGATAAATGCATGCACTAGCTTTTGGGATTTGGGCACAGGTATCTCTTGTTTGCTGAATACGAATGCATGTCACATTTTTCAGATATTTATTTGTAACTAATTTTGAAAAACATTTATCGTTTTCCTTCCACTTCACAATTATGTGCCACTTTGTGTTGGTTTACCATATAAAATACATTTACATTTTTGGTTGTAGCATGACAAAATGTGGAAAATTTCAAGGGATATGAATACATTTTCAAGGCACTGTATACACAGGTTATAGTGAATATGTGGAAGTAAATGTGTGAGGATCTTCACAAAGTAAGTTTACAAATGTCAAGATTATTTAGATTAATAAGAGTAAGATAGAAATATTTGAAATACAATGTGGAGACAAATATATGATTTTAGAAAAATTAGGATTTCAGTCATTTATATTTTATGTAATTTATAAACAAAAGATTGTTAGTTTAAGAAAAGCATTTTTACTGTAAGTACAAAATATATAATTTATTCTGTAATGTGTTCTGTTTAAAGTTATACTAAAATAAATAATTCTGGGATAAAGCATGGCATGGTTATTTTCAAATCAAAAAAAGGTTTTTTTGCTTATTTTTTTCCATTTTGTCATACAATATTGAACAACAAACAAAATGAATGAAAATGAAAAAAAAAAGAATGGATACAACATAGAAATAATAAATAGCATATAAATAATAGCTAAGAGGAGAAAGGGGGGTAAGGTGTTATTTAGGGCTAATTCAAGTTAACTGAAGGTTTATGAGGAGTTAAATAAGAATATACTTTATTTAATTTTTATTAATTTTTTAAATGTAATATTTCACTAATTGATACAGATCAATAGCCACACCATTAGAAAGTAGATCCTGTCACTGAGTATACCATTGGTACATTTTATTACTCAACTCTCTTCTTCATTCACCTCTTAAAGGATAGGGGGTGTCGGGCGTGTTGGTCAAAGGAAAATGATGGCGGCCCAGGATTTAGGGAAATGTCTCCAGATGTTAGGAGAAAAACAAGGGTGAGAGAGGGTAATATGGGAGTAAGGTTTATATGAAGGGAACTGGAGGTTTTATTAGAAGGTGGGTTCAGGATAGGCAGGAGTTGATCAGTGCAGTAAAGGTGAAGACAGGAGTGAGGGTGATATATCTCCTAGATTGTAAGCTCGAAAGAGCAGGGCCCTCGTGTATTGTATTGTTACTGTATTGTCTCATGTTCTGTCCCCCACTATAATGTACAGCGCTGAGCAAACCTTTTAGCGCTATATAAATACTGTATAATAATAATAATTAT